ACTTGTAAATTTTACCAAAATGTTGCCAAGACCAAAATATAGTATTCCTATCATTCTAAAACTTATTGACACAAACCATTCTTACACTTACCCATAATAAACATCTACTGATTTTTAGGGCATAAATGTACTTACACACAGGCATCGGACCAGATCACATACATTTATAAAAAATGAGATCTGCTCTCTGGAGTGAATAGTCTAACTAGACAAAGTGACAGAGGCTGCTGTCCCCAAAATCTATCCTCCAGTTCTTCTACATGGCCCTCCACAATATATTTACCTGTCTATCCTTCAGTACCTGCTCTTTGCTTCTTGCCCCCTCCTCCTCTATCTTGCTGTTTAGGATTGGATGTGAGGGTAAAGTTCCATTTTGCATGAGGCAGGTGAAGGCAATACCCTGGACTGCCTAATTCTAGACCAATACACAATCTTGATTTTGCCACCATTTTCCAGATCTGCTTCAGAGAGCTAAAACTAACCCTAATCAATGAAGGGAGAATACCATTAGTTGTCATACATAAGTCAAATTCAAGTTAAATGCTTGATACTGTAGTATGTACACCTGTGAGCTTTAGGGGACATATGACTATGGACTGACTGAAGTGTCATTAGATAAGAACTCTTCCTTATTTGATAGCAAAGATCAACTGCTGGTTCTTCTCCTGGTGGCTGGAATAAGCAGTTTAAACTACTGTCAAACTATAATTCTAATATACACAAAGTGCACACATATATAGAAATGACTCTATCAAGTGGGCCTGGATGGTGCTCAACAGTCATACTGAGTTTGTAGTGTATTCTACAATAGAAGGAACAGAAGTGTATTCCTTCTTCCAGACGACCATTCCATATCTTTGCTTTTCTTCTCTCTCTTCAAACTTCTAATATATCTGCCACACCCTCACTTTCAGGTGAATACTTTGCTTCCTTGTTCACTGAGAAAACTGAAGCTTTTCCCATCAGGACATCCACTCAGCCACCTCGAACTATCGATTCACTCCACCTTCCATCCTGTCACTATGGTGGAGCTCTCCGTGGTCCTAAGGCCACCTTCTCCACTGAACCCTAGATCCCATTCCATCGCCTCTTCAAGGATATTACTCCAGAAGTTATTCCCCTCTCTGGCTTCATCAGTTCATGAATTGTTTCCTCTTCAATGGATCTTTCTTATCAACCTAGAAGCATGATTATTTCTTCTGTTTTTAAGGAGAAAAACACTTTCTTTATCCCTCCTTCCCCTCAAGCTACCACTCTATTTTTCTCCTTTTCTTCATAGAAACAGTCCTCCGTATTTGCTCTGTTTCATCTCTACCCATTTTTTCTTGAAGCAAAAATGACCACTGCTAAATCCAATGGTCAATTTTCAGTGCTCATCTTGACTTATCAGCAATGAATACAGTTCTGAACAGAGTTGCTTATGCTCTTCCTTGATGACATTCTGCATGTGGATTTCAGGACTCTACAGGCTCCTGGTCCTCCTCCCATCTCTCTGGCCATTCCTTTCCAGTCTCTTTTGGTTGTTCCTTTTCACCTCCCCAGGCTCTAAAGTAACAGTATCCCAGAGTTCAGTCTCAAGATTTTCCTTTTTAACCAACATTTTCTCCCTTGATGATCTCAAGCAGCCTAATGACTTCAACTACCATTTTTATGCATATGATACCCAAATGTGTATGTTTAGCCTAGATTGTCCTCCTGAACCTCAGATTTTCATATACAAATACCTACTTGTCACTGTCACTCAGATGTCTAATGAGCAACTCAAACTTAACATGTCTTGTTTAACTAAGCACCTGATCATCTCCAAACCTGCTCTTTCCACCACCCTCCCTAGTGTTCAGACCAAAAGGCCTCATAACTTTCTTTCACATCCTACATCTTATCTGTCAGCAAATTTTACTTCTATTACCTTCAAAATACATCCAGAACTGACTACATATAGCTCCACTGCTACTCACCATGTCCTAAGCTACCATCAGCTCTCTCCAGATTACTGCAATAGTCCTATAGCAGGTCTCCTGCTTCCGTCCCTACCCTTCCTAAAGTCTATTGGAGACACAGTCTAAGTCAAAATATATCACTACTTTCTTCAGAAACTCTCTTCAGTGCCCATTATCAGTTAAAATAAAAGCCCAAGTCTCCACAATG